TATATATATATATTATCTAATGATTCCTTAATATCCTATTCACACCCTCCCCGTAATCTTCTTTACGTTCTTTATGATGAAGTTGTTTTTACTTGTCCAAACATCGCTTGCTTATTTAACTTTTTTTTGTATGTTTATAAAATTATAAATGTTATGCTATCATTATAACTTAATTTAATATATTAAAAGTTCAAATAATATTATTTAATTATTAAGAATTTAACTATAATCAAACCATTTAATTTAAAATCAATATTTCTTTCACTGATTTCAATAATTTATTCAATTTTAAAAACCTTGTTATATATGCAAATTTAATTTATTAATCAATCCCTATATATTATACATGAATGTAATGACCTAATAAGTCATTGTACTTATCATGGGAATCGATGATAATGCAAAAGTTAAAGAAAACTTACATGAACTATCTAGATGGATTAGTCAATAGAAGCAAATGACTATACATGTAATAACATGTATGGAAATATACACTACATATAAAGTCCATCATGTATATTATATACACCATAGTCTAAACCACTACAAAATGCACTCTAGATAGCCAATTGAGAACTCTAAATCATGACTCCATTAGGAGAGTCATACAATACAAGCCACCTTCAATGTGACTTGACACCATCACTCTAGCCAATCATCTAATATTATCCTACTCGCATACCAAGTATGGTCATCGTAGTTCTAACCACAAAAAAAAGAATGATAAACTTATGAAAGAAACAACATACAACAATACAACAAAAGCGTATATGAACAATAGAACAACTCACAACTTAACAACTTACTCAACTATTATCAACTTTAATATACTCAACATCTCAACATACAAATATTAACAGTTAATACGTTGTCACACATGTCAACTAAGAAGATCTCCTACAACTGAGGTGAATAATTTAAGTGATTTGACTCTACCGAACCACAACATTAAACCTATTTCAACCAAGTTAGGTATAATACAATGTTAGGCCTTAAAGAGAGTCAAGTATAGACAACTTAGTTTGATTTATCAAGTTTTGTCACTTAAACTAGGAAGTATATGATACTATGTAATGGTTGAACAATTTGGATATGAACTTATCACGACATTAGTTTGTAACATTAAGTCACTGTGGCATTAGCACACTGACTACCCTCCAAATATCACAACCCTCTAATACTAAGTTAGAGACCAAGTCTCCAACTTCGTACTTTACTCAATTAGTCATTCAACTAGGATATGGTTTGACTACCACTACTAGAAAAGTGTCATTTTTTTGTAAATTTTCTGCAAAAAAATATTCGCAGAATTTTTTTGCGAATTTTCCTGCAAAAAAATATTCGCAGAAGTTTTTTGCCAATTTTCCTGCAAAAAATAATTTACAGATATTTCTTACAAATTTTGCTACAATTTTAATAATCATAGAAAAAAAATTTCCATGGTAAAATTTGCAGAAAATATTGTAAGAATTTTATTTTATTTCTTGCAGATTTTCTTGCAAAAATAAATTCGCAAGTAATGTTTACTAAATGGTAGAAAAATTTTGCAGGTAACTTTTCCTGCGGATTTTCCTGCAAATTTTAATTCGCAGGAAAAATAAAAAAATATATTTAAATTCATAAGTTTAATATTTTAAAAAATCTCCAAGTCCCACATCGATTGAAAATAAAATAATTAAAGAGTATATAAGTTGGGGCAACACTTACCTTACAAGTTGAATTGTATGGTTGAGTGTTAGGCTTATAATCTACAATCTTAGAATTTGAAAGATTATGTATGAGACATGAAAATAAAAGATTATGAATTCTTAAAATATATAATTTATAGTAATTTTTTTTAAATTTTTTCGTAAAAAATATTCCTGCAGAATTTCTTGCGAAAAAATTCGCAGGAAAGTTTCCTGCAAATTTTTTTTTGCAAGAAACTTTCCTGCAAATTTTCCTACGGATTTTTTTGCAGGAAAATTTCCTGCAAATTTTTTTTTGCAGGAAACTTTCATGTGAATTTTAAAATTCGCAAAAATATATTATCCACGAAGGTATTACCTGTAAATAAAATTTTCCAGAAAAATTTGTAGGAACAACGTTTCCTGCAAATTTTTATGAAAAATTCGTAGGAAAAATCGCATGTAATTAGAAAAATTCTAGTAGCGTACATCCATATCAATCCACATAGACCTTAGAGGGAAAACCAACTTTAAAGCAATATAATTCGCCTTTAACATCTATGTATCTTAATTAAGACATATATTTCAATCACATGTCCACAATTTCACAACTTAATAGCTATACAATATACAAATTACATACTTAATATCATCATCTCATCTATCAACTTACAACAAAGTATTCGTCATCGTATATTGTCATACATACATCATGGTCAACAATATTCATCAATAGTTCATCATAAAACAACAAGTATACAATAGATGTGTCGCACCCAATGCTACTCAAGCAACACCTGACGCCATCTAGACAAAGAACTCCCTATCTTGCGCATGTTCGACATTGCACCACTCACGCCTAACATGATTGAGGTAAAGAATGTCTCATTCTCTTGTGCTTAGCGTGGTAAAACCCATGTTTGGCCTCAATTAGGCAAAGGCCCTTTGCCTGACTCACGCCCAACAGAAACCTAGACAAAAGCGAGTCTCTCTCCTCACACTCGACGCCTTTCAGATCACGCCCAACACTAGTCCAACCTGAGGTTGTTCCCTCTTCTCACGCTCAATACTACCAATCTTGTTCTCAGTGTGGAGATAGGGAGAACCCTCTGATTAAGTTGTGCTTGACGCGGTGAAGGCATGCTCAACGTGATGAAGACACTTTGACATGACATCAGTTTCGCACTTCTACAGGATATAATTTCGCCCAAAATCCTACAAACAACAACTCACAACCAACATTTTGCAACATACAACAACTATATACAATACAAGCACTTCAAGATTTCACCATCAAAAGCAACATGCAACCAAGTATCAAAGATTCACCATGAGCAAAAGAGGCCTACTTCAAGAACTCTCATACCCGCAACTCAGCCACCAAGAATCAACAACTCAACAAAAAATTAAAGACATAGAAGGGTACCAATCAACATCCACATGACACAATCACAATGCAAGCATCCCTTACCTCTTTGGAGAACCAAAATCTACCAGAGAGGGAAGGGGAAGAAAAAGCTTCACACACTCTGTATGGTTCCAAACCCAAACAATAACTCAGCTACTCAGGTTAGCTCCAAAAGGAAGAAGAAGGAGGAGAAAGTCTCAAGGAGAAAAAAGAAAGAAAATCCTCCCATACTAGTTCTCACTCTTCTATTGAACCTTAGTATTACAACAAATGTCTATCTTGTGCGAGAATATTTTTAAGAATGTTTTTTCAACAAGAGGGTTTGTACATATTTTTTTAACTTTTTATCTAATTCAGTTATTATTTATCATAATTATTTATGAAATAAATATTAATATTTTAAAATAAATCATAAATAAATAAATAAATTTTTTTATAATACAAATTTATTTATCATAAATCTAAAATATAATTTATATTTAAAAATATTTATGTATACTAATTTAAAATATAATTTGTATATTCAAACATAATATTTATTTATATAATTTATAATAAATTTTAATTATATATAATAAACATACTTATGGATTACACGTGTTAAAGTATTATTAAAATCCTATTCCAAGTAATACTAAAATTATTAACCACGTAAGTTCTGAAATAGTCCTTTTCTTCCAAATAAGTACAAAGACCTTAATATCTTATTTAAACTTTTCACATTGTAAGAACAATCTTTATAGTAGAGAATCCTTATTCATTCCGTGTGCATAAATTAATTGAGTTAGTCTTTAACTTGATAAGAAAGAAAATACTCGTGGGAGGAAAAAAAGAAAACATTTCACACCCTCATTCCTGCATGCCAGGTTTACTATGAGTTTGTTTATTTTTGTTCAAATATAATTGCTTTTTTCTTTTTTTCATATTTGATTTTTCTTGCATCCTTATCATAAAGTTCTTAAATTATACGGTAAAGTGAATTCATTTTTAACATAAAATAATCTTTAGGTTTTAACATGTTTTTATCCTTATAATACACTATTTTCTTTTTATGTTGCTTTATTTTATTTTAGTCTTTATAATATATATATATATATAT